TATTCTCAAACTATAACACAAATAAGACAAAATGTGGCGGCAACTTATGTTGGTGGAAATTTTCAATAAACCACCATCTTCAACAAAATATGTTTTTTGTTCTATAATTGTATAGATATTTATTATTATGCTTCTTCTACAATACGTTTTAACCAATCTTCTATATTTAACTTCAGTTTTTACAGCAACTTTAGTCAAGCGAAATTTGTTGACGCTTCGAGGGCGCTATTTTGAGGGCGCTTCGACTGCTGTGTTATGTTGTTTTAAGTTGGGTAATAACCGATATTCAACAAATACCAAACGCTGTAAAATAGAACTCGATAAAAAGTATCATGTAGCGTTTAAGGTATGTACATTAAAGTCAGACTATGGACATTCAACTTATAATTAACATATAAATATCGATATATTTCTTCTTTTCCCGTAGAATCGAATAAAAGGATCAGAACTGGCTTCGTAAAGAATAACAAGGATTATATGAAGATCCCACCATCCATGTAGTTTTTTTATGGAAGGAGGGGGGGGGGGTTATACATGATCTGGCCCGAGGGAGAATCCTTATGTTATAAACCTTAATCCTATGATCGAAACTGGCGGGAGGATCTTCATACGAGTGCGAAGAGAGTGTACATTCAGTTGGATATATGGGGGATGATCTTCACGTGATCCAAATGTTATTTATCTATGTCTATGTCTAATATATTCCTAACATTTATTATGATGGAACAAAATTTTAGCATTGAGTCATGAAAACTGAAATGTTTTAATTAAATAAAAATTAGTTATAGATTTACTGACATGTCACGTATTACAACATTGCTATATTCGATAACATATATTTATGTCCTATAATAACTATGATGTGAATAGGAAATATATTGGCAAAACGGAAATTCAAATTAATTCAATTAAACTTCAATCTACAATTTGAGATTCAAACTTTAATTTCATATACACAACATATGATGTCATGTTATGAATCGGTCATTTTTCTCTCAAAAATTACTTGCGTGTATAAATGGTGTGAAGTCAGCTGGGCAATCATTTCTCATTATCCAATCATGGATTTCTATAAACGTACAAATTATATCAATCGCACAAGCGTAACATTAGGTCACTCCGTATATATTTGAGAAAATGCCGTAATATAGAAATTATTAAATTTTTACTTTTAGGATCGATTTAGAACATTGCGATCACTTTTTTTTTTCAATTCTCTGATACATGGGCATAAAATATTTTTATTTTCAATAAAATTCATCAAAAAGATCAGTCGTGAATCAAATTTTATAATAAATTAAATAAGTAATTACTAATAATTGAATAAATGCAAATTTTAACAATTCGTGTATCTGAACATCTATTTTTGACCATAAAAATATATACTTGAATTCTGACAAAATTCTATCAAACGCCGTTGCAAACTCTTGAAAATATTTTTCATTTGTTGAAAACAAGGCAATTGAGATAAAAACTGTAAACGAAGGGATGTATTTTCAAAACCTAGCGATAAATGTCCAAAACTTAGTGAAATACAACAGCACTGGGCAATATCCAACTCTTCAAACTCTTTCAAAGTCAGCCACTGTTTTTTTTTTCATCATCAGTCCATTTTATCATCAATTTCTGGGTTCTTGAAAGTATTCAGATCTTGACCTTTAAAAATGTGTCGAAAAATACAAAACAAACTCAAATCAAGGAAACCGTATTGGAATCGAAATGAATTTTTAGATTGCCATGGCATTAATTCAGTCATTTGATCAGACATTCACTCATTTCTATTGATGCAGTATTTTTTTTCTTAATATATATAGGTAATTCAATGGTTTTGGCATGAGCAAATTCTCTATTAAATCTTTTTAAAATGATAATTTTTGATCTTATTTTTTATTCTAATATTCAATGAAATGAATCGAAATAGCAATTTTGTCAAGTTGAGGATTTTCTGATATATATTTGAGGTTTGATTGATTTTCGTATGAACTTTGTATATAAATAATCTTTCAATATTAACATCGAATAAAAATCATGTTTCGTTTATTAACTAATTTTTAAGGTTTTCAATTGCTTTTTTTTCCATTTTGATGACTAAATATTATATTCGTGTGAGAAGTTATCATTATAATAAAATAGCCATACCATTTCGTTTCATTCTAATATGCTTATTTCGAAATGCTTTTTTCGGTTTTCAATCTTCATCTGTATTTTGATGTGACTGATCGTTTTTGTAATGCGATATCGATGTACTGGTTTTTATTTTTTTAATATGTCATGAGCATGTTTATTCGACATAGATAATTCTAAGCACGTACATATCCGGAAGTCTACTTTGTATTGAAAATCACTTAATGATACTACAAAGCGTGACTGCTAGTTGTATATATGCAATTGGTAAATTGTAGAAATAATTTACACTGGAATACAAACGTACAAACTGTATCTATTCTGAACAGATACTATAAGATAATTTAGATGGCAATATGACACAATTCACAAACAAATTTTGATAGACACAAAAAATAAGTTAAACTAATTTTCAATTTACTGGAAGTGGATGAGTTTTTATCAAGAATGTTATACATATATGTGTTTAAAAATACGTTAAGTGTGAATCTAACTTAAAATATAATTTTATCAACTTGACCTTAAGAATTATTTTAGCTTTATTTTCTTTATTTAAAAAGAATCAAAGATAGTTTATTTACAAATGTCTCCAATATTACACTGAAATTCAAATATGAATTTATTACTCTTTTTAATCTTCTTATATATATATTTTTTTCATCTTCCGTAAAATGCATAGTTATCTTGAAAAAGCAAATACCTTAAAATTTATATAGTACTTGTAACGAGGCATTCCAGTAAAAAGAGCTAATAAAAATTCAATATATATCAGATATTCGTTTTTAATTTATGTTCTAACATTTTTTATTAGAAATGTAGATTTTCTATCCACTGTTTGATATTTTACGTATAGTCATACAATTTCACACTTACGTAATTCAGTGGTGGTTTCAAATTATAATAATTAAACACACGCAGCTGCTAAGACTGAAAATTACATCGCGACAACTTCCAAAAAGTTAGGCTTGATCAGAGATATTTTAAATGATGTAATTTCCTGATATCAATAATAAAATAACCATGAAGATATATGATGTAAGCATTTGTGTACAATTATGAGATTTATCAAATCGTGTTAATAATTACGTAGTGATAGGCTAACAAAATAAACATAATTGAGTATGACAATTTTGCAGCTTCGAGTTACAGAAGTCGCCTGTATGACTTCTTGATCAACGACTAGATCTCAGCCTTAAAAAGACTGATAACGATTAAAATAAATCCCACATCAGCCTAAAAGCAGACTTCTATTTAGCAGAATCTTTCTGATAAGAATTTGTCGAATATTAACTCACACAAGCTACAGAGAAGTTTGATGTATTGGTTCACTAATGTTTGATCAGCATTTTTAGTTCTGATACGCATCATAAAGTATCACAGAATTTCATAAACGAATCAAGTCTATTCTTTTTTCAGCTTCTGTCAACCAAATGTCAGCCAGGTATTAATAACAAAGATTATCCAAATGGAATAGTTTGAGTTGGAGTGAAGAAATGAATTAATAAATAAAGACGATATTTTTTGAGGTTCTCTTCCTTGCTGCATAAACGAGAGTTTAAATAAAACGTTTTTTTTTTTCTAAACATGTATATTACAAATAACAGTCAGTGGGAGTACAAAAATTGACATACTTGAAGCAACTCGAAATGTGCAAAGAAAAATTTCCATCATAAATTGCCTCATTATTCACATTGGCCATTTCTATACCTTACTTTTCCAGACTCTGTATAAATCGACGTGTTATTACACTACAAGAGATAGCATTTCAATCATCAACCATTGGATCTCCGCTCTAGGAGTACAATTTTCTTGGAACAATATTGCTGGGTGATTCCCCTGCATTGGCGGAGATTACTGGGCGCCTACCGACTTGTTTCATGTTTATAGGTAATTTCACTTTTATCACATCTATCTTACTATTAATTTTTGAGTTGATAAGATAGATGTGATTGATTTGTCAGCAGAGTTAAAGTTATTGAAAAATGAAAACCAATGCTATTAGCTTCTTAGATTTAACGTGAATGCACTAATTTTACTTGACAAAACCGAATGCAAAATCAGTTATCTCTTTAACATATGACATACTTGATATGTCTTTAAACGTTTGAGAAAGATTCTAATATTTTTTTGTTAGCTTGGCGATAGTCCTAGATTTTTTTTTAAAAAGTGATTTCTAGTATTAGGCTTATATCTGACACACAATGAACAAAATTGTGATTAAATTGTGCGTAATTAGTCAATTTGAATAAATTTTTGATCCACAATTTTTTCAGCGTTAGGTTAGCTTGTTTTGCAACAATGTTATCTCGTAAACTACATTCGAAGTTTTTCAAATCTTGAAACTTTTTAGTTGGCAATAATGACGTCACATCATGAAATTGACGACACCCAATAGAAGGGCAGTCAGAGCAGGTTTTTCAAAAAAGATTACGTATTCAAGCTTAACTTTATTGCACACGCATCGTTTTATTGAAGTCGAAGAAAGAAAGACCGGTGAAATCCACAAACCATGACTAACACAAAAAGCGAGGCAGACACTCCAAGTAATAGTATATTAAACTTAGACCTAAAAACTGATTTAATTAAAGCATGTAACTTCAATTTCGACTCAATGTGCGAAAATTATCTCGAATACCCATGGTATTTCAAACGCTGAGGACAACTATCGCTGCAAAATAGTATAACAAGAATCCTAATGTTATGTAACAAAAAAGCCAGCATACAATATAAAAAAAATCATATATTTAACAAAATAATCAACAAACCTAACAAAATCAAACTAGTAAGAAAGATTAAAAAACGATAAGAAAATTGTTTAAATAAAAAATAAAAACATAAACAGTGAGTTATTCTGAAAAACATTTATAAAATAAATTTCCATTTGAATAAAATAAGGAATGTAGAATAGCAGTGATAGATAACTGTTTTAATTTTGCTGTGATTTGGTAGTTTTGGAATGTCGTTAATAATTTAACAAACGTAATAAGTATAACGAAATTGTTCCGTGTGATATTTTCTCAAAACCTAAAACATTTCGATGTATTTACAACAATTTAACAATTCACATTTCGGCAGAGTGGATTAATATTATTCAATACAAAACTACTTATTGAAAATTGTCTATCGCAGACGAACTTATTGCAACTCGGAAAATGAAAACTTTGATATAATAATATTCACCCTCTATTTCTAATGATGTTAGGACAATCATATTTATTTATCAAACAAGGTTTATCGAAATTGTGTTTCAGCTGTGGTTGTTCTGCCTCTGGTGAAAATGTTGTCTGAGTACTAATTCCGAATTGCATTTTTTGTTTTCCCGGCATTGCGCAATTTAATTTTTGCGTAAAGTCAGTAATTCTATCGGCGTCCAAAGGATCCATCATCAATACGTTAACGTTGAATAGAGATTTTTCTTCATCAATCGATGTGTTTTTACCGTAGTAGGGAATGTCGGCCACTGACTGAAAACCATTCTTTTGGTGAAATCGAACTGCTTGTCTACTGTGACTAATCATAAAAAGCATCGGTGACTTTTTAAAATCTGTCAATCTCTTCGAAGATTTTTTTAATTGGATTTCAGTATTTTCGCTTTCTACTGTGGTGTTGTTGACGGAAACACTCTGAATTGGTGGTGAACGATGTGATAGTATCGACAGACTATGAAAAAATGCCGTCAGAGTTTTGAAATTAATTTGATTTTTGTAATACCCAAGTAATTTTTGGGCAGTTTTTCGAATATTTATTTTGGATTGATTTTCCATTTTCTTCGCTTCGGTCATCTTGATTTTTCGAAAATTATTTATTATTTTCAAACATTCATTGTAACTCATACTCCCACATCCTCTTCCTGCATACTTGGGATCAACAGCACAGAATATTCCATTCCATAACGGTACTTTAGTTGAACAAACATGTTTTGATATATTTTCATATTCCCATTCTTCATATCTGAACAAAAACATGATATTTTTATTTGCTTCTAAATTGGACAATGACAATCGTAAACGTATGTAAAATTTTAAAACTTACTTCTCCATTCTTTCAAATGCTTCCAGGTCGATTTCTTTCAATTTATATTTTTCATATGCTTCGTAAAAATCGTCAGCTTTTTCACATTCCCATCCTCCATGATCTTGAGATGGAGGAACAACCATAGCTCCTCCTATAACTGTGTTCTGTTTTTGATGATAAGAAAAACATTTAATAGGTATTATTATTATTGTGAATTACATATACTTGTAATCATTCGTAAACTTACATTGTCAGATAATCTTCCAACTAAAAGTATTGAGTTTCCATTACGTATAGTGACGTCATATATTGCTTCTAAATATCTTCTTAAAAATTCTGGTCTTGTTTGTTCATTAGGTATTAAGTATTTATACAGAGAATAATGATGAAAAGCTCGAACAAGGCATTCCCTGACTTCTGTCCAATCTTGTTCTCCGCGTGATAGTTCAACTCTAACTTTACTGAAATAAATGAAAGAGAAGTAAAATAACATGAACAATATACATTTATTTGACATCAGCATTCCTATGGTAGACAAATATGGTTCTTACCTGCACATGTTAACTTTCGTTTGAGACTGTTTATATCTTTCAGCTTTTTAGCAACTTGTACGGAGATTTGCAAAACACGTTGATATTTACAAAATTCGATTGTATTGATATGTTTGAGAGCGCTCGATACTGAATAAAAGTGCTTAAGTCCGCAGCTTTTATATCACGATATCATGACGCATTTTTTCTTCTCCAAAACGAAATGTCTCGACAGACGTAAGTCGCGTTTTAAAGTACGAGAGCGTGAAATTTTCTTCAATTACTGTTACCGTTGAATTCTATTTAAATATTAGTAAACTTTAAAATCTAAAAATATATTTCTAACGTTTTTGTATATTAAAGTACGTTATGTTAGGTAATTCTAACTATCAACCATTATGAAAAAACACTTGTTTTTAAATAAATTGTATTCTACCTCCTTAAACAGAAAATTGTACCCACAAAATGTGTCATAATCTAATTCTACCACATGGAGTTATAAAAACGTCTGAACAAAATAAAGAAATAAACAAATAGTGTTGCTGGGATATCATTTGTTGTCTTAATGCATTCTCCTATACCCACGAAGAGCAGGAATCAAGAAGCTGGATCAGTTCTACTTTTTTAAACGAATGCATTTCTCGTGGCGCTCTTTAATAAAATAACTTTACTATATGTTTATCAATTACGTTTTAATTTTATTTTAATATGAAGATTTCATCATGTCGTTCGCATTATCACATTTTTATATGTAAATATCTATGTTGGATGGGTCATGAGAAAGTTGTCGCTGTTGGTTGTAATTATGCACCATTTAGCTAAACTACCACTCAAAAGTAGTTTAAACGCTACGATTTCAAGTGTTACTGTTCGAAATTACGCAAATTATTGTTTGACGACATCATTCCAACATTAGCCAGATTTATCTAATGCGAAAACCTAAAAAGTATGGATTAGGTAGTACTTTCAACAACGTTCGTATTGTTGAACTAAAAGATATGCTTGGACTTTTTAATTTTTAACAAAAGCTTGTAATGATAGTGAATTGATTAATGCTCATCGTCAATTCAATGGATGGTTTAAAACATAATTCAATTTGGTTAGTTAAAGTCAAGTTTAGATACATATTTAATACACGTCTTTATTAAAAATGAATGGACTTTTTTTAATTTAACATCCCAAAACATGCTGTGAACGTATATTTTTATTCTACTAAACTCGATTTAACGGCATTGTTTCATAATATATTTTAAACAAAAATGATGTCATATGTTAAAGAAATTACTTTAATTTCTAGTCATTAAATTACTTCGCGATAATGACTAAATTGTGTGAAGTAATTGAAAAACGGAAAGCAAAATTTCTCATTATCCAATCACATGTTTCCGGAAAAGTAAGAATATATGCTTTACAGAGTAACGTAATGCATTCTGTTTTTCATTTATATATCCAGAATTACAAATAAGTAATATACAAATTCAACTCTCTGACTGAAGAGTATTTTTTATAAAACTTGCTCAAAGCAAAGTTCCGGGCAATCATCATAAAAAAGTTGCAATCGACCACTGAAGCACAACATAAGATCATCCCTTCAAAACAGTCGGCAGTAGATATCAGTTAAAACAGGACACTCAAAAAAATTCCATAAAATATATATAGTCAGGGAAGTAGCTAAGAGGAATTGAAATTTATAAAACAATTGTTCTCGGGAAAATAATTGGCACAAAAGTTTGTTTGACAAACGGAAACTTCAACAGTCTATGGATTGATCTAGTAGAATTACAGAAAACAATTGGGCGGAGATGGAAGAAAGATGCACAAACGAGCAGAAGCCGTTATAATATCGTTGAAATGAACTAAGTGGAGTCATAATTTCTGTATGTGAAAAATCAATAGCACTGGAACTTTTGTGTAACATTCTTGGCGCTCCAGAAATATGTGTATCATTATGGAGGTACCTAAGTTTGTTCGCCATCTTTACATCTTTGTGTAAAGGGACTGAAACCTATGGACAGTGGGCATATTCAGTTGGCTAACACAGACAGTCCCCGAACTCCTAATATAACCAAAATAAGGGAAATCGAAATAAAATTATGGCCCAACCCTAACCTGGTACACATACTAGGGAACACCAAATTTCTTGCTTAAAGATATAGAAGTGGAGTAAAATGCCTGTGTAAATGCTCACTGTATATAAATGAGGTTTTGTAAGCTAAATCACAAAGAGTTGAACGAGTTGAACTTTGACATTTACTATATGAAGAAATGACATTTCAGTTTTTGACATGCTAAAAGTAACAAAATAGTGTCCAAGTATCACAAGCTACAGACTTGGCTTAGAAATGTATTTTCTGGTATTTATCAAAGTCAAGTTGTCAACAGATTGGCGGTTAAGCAATATCTAAGAATACGATACTGCTTTTAAATTTGCAGTCCAAATGCCCCGAATGATAAGCTGTAATGTTTACGTTGATGATTGGTTGGAGTAATTTGCTAATATTAAGGTTTTTTGAGGGTTAAAACTTTCGTTGCAATTTTTATAAGCCGGATCATGAAACGAAATATGGCGCAAACTTGTTGATGTTTTTTGAAAAACCAATCTATATTCAGTAACATTGCGTACTGATATTATTCAAAGTGAAAGCAGATCACATGTTAGACTGTCAGAGTATTTTAAATTCTCCCTGTGGGTGAAAAGTCATTATTATCGTGTCATTATGGTTGGAAATCTTGGTTAATAACCCAAATAAAATTATCACTGACTGCAATGCCGGTAAATAATGACAAACAACTACACTTCGATTATGGCTGGATGAGAAAGCTCACGGTATTACAAACGTTTGTACAGTGTATGATTGGCCTAGTCGTATATATATAGGGGGAAACTATTCTTAACATAATATCTGTAAATCTTTTCCTCAATTTTTGAACACAACAAATTAAGATATTGAATTTCGTGCGCCCGCAATATCTTTATGGGCATACAGTAGTATAATAATTTGTTTATATGCAATATGATACACCAAGCCTTCCATATAAAACTTCGATAGATATTCGTGTCTTCAAAATTTATGACTACGAGTTTTGATTCTGCCGCGTTCGAACAGTGAATTTTAAATTCTTTTTTGTCTGGCAGACTCCACGCATTGAATATTTCAAATAAAATTGACAACGAAAATATTCGGATTTTTTAAAATGTATTTTAATTATTTTCTGTCGATTAAATGTAATAAAGCTAAACATGACATCTTGTTTTCAACTATATAATAAGAGCCACTGGGCATATCTTAGTACAAAAGTTGAACCCAAAAATATTATGGAAAAAACTTCGGTTTCTGATAAGTAAAGCTTATATTTTTATTTAACTAAATATGACTTCCTCGAATATACTTGATCAGTAATGAAACTGTTGTTCAACGTAATCTATTTGTACAAGGACTCATGAAACTCTATTGTACAGAAGATGTAATTTTCAAAACTGCGTTTAAGCAATGTAGTTTCCGGCATTTTGTTTCAATCATTTTATCAACGCTTGAATGTCCAACAATTGTTCATAAAAGAAACAGCAACATATTGCAACATTTCATCGACTCATGATATTTGCAAAATATTTATAAAACTACATATACTATTATACTTATTGGTCATATTGCGTAGGCTTATGCTCATATTATATAAAATTGCAATATGTCAAATGGTTAACAGAGTTTCTTCAATTTACTTATTCTAAATTGGTAAACTATTATGCATTACTATATACACTGTAAACACAAGATTTAATGTTATGTGAGAAGAAAAATATTTAATAAATAAATATTCATTAGGTAACTTCACTGCAACACACCTTTTTAAAACGCTTAATATTCGTACAATTTTAGGATATTGTTTATTGCGGAATATATTTTATAATATGCAATTTGAAGTCAATCGATAAGAATGCTGATAAAATCATTTTCAACTTAACTTGTGGTCAAAAACAATCATCCCCTTGTCACGCTATTCCTACGTTAGATGTTTTGATAACCCGAGAACTGATTTTATTCAATTTATATTCATTTTTAATGATACTTGAACCTATGTAAGAATAAACCTATATCAGGGAGTCAGGGAGTTCTTTATTTATGATTTTTAGATGCTGACACGCATGCTTTATATTTTTAAATTTAGTTAGAGTCGAGACAAATATAAAAATATCTGAATAAATCAGAATTTGTACATCGCAAAAGTGTATTTTAATTACGTACAAATAATTCATAAAAAATATTTTTGTATGACTTCTAAAAATTCACTTCATAAGCAATAATTGACGTTTGAATTCCTTTTACGTTTAAATTTATAACTTCAGTGTATAACATTTGTAGGACATAACCATGAAACGTAACTGTAACAAAAATGACGTAGAAATGTTGAAACCGTGATAGTTTTATTATCAAATTATTATTTATTTACGAAAAATACGATGTTTGTGCTAACAATAATACCAATTTTATTTTAAGAAGTTAACTATTTTTAGTTTTTGCGTCATCAATACTTCATACCATTTATTCGAAAAAATACGCATATGCAAAGTAAAATAACGAGGAAATACCATACCACGTTGCTAGAGTTTATCCGTGCTAGTATTTTCTTCAAAGACCATTGGTGAAGGGGTCAAAACATTTGCCTATTTATTAGTTACGAACAAAACAAAATAAAAGTAGAAGATAGAAATATTATGACACGGCATGTATTTTGAGAAGTATTTTATATTTGTTTGATATGATTTTAGAACTTTGTTCAATTTTAGAGAATGGAGTTTAGAGCTTAGTACCATTCATTATATTATGTCTTTTTATGTTAATTATTTCAAAAATTCAAAATGAAATAGTATTGGTAAAAGACATCATCATCATAATCCGAGGAAAAGTCGAGTGCAGCCCAGCTGTAATTTAAGTAAAGACAATTGAATGGCTCAGCTTCGGTGACTATAGATACAAAGCAATGTTGTTAGGGCAGCGTTTATTTTTTAGCTTCTGATTGTCATAAAGTATCGATAATTATTTCGTCTATTCTGGATATCATGAATGAAAATTCAAAATCAAATTTGTATTTGCAAAACGTTTTACTTTAGTCCTGCTATAACCAAAACCCAGACCAATAA